CTGTTTACAGATAGTGAGTAGTCCTTTTCCGCCGCTTTCTTTGTCATGTGTTTCTTGATAAATTTTTCGGGATAGCCATTTTCGATCAAAATATCATATACAATATTTTCCAAGTTATATAATGAATTAACACATAACATAAAGAAATATTAGAAGTTGGGTCTCTCCAGCAGTTTGCACTCACTTGAGACCTTAAAGGGAATTGGACACGGCCTTCACGTTGCTCAAAGAGTCTGTTGATGATTCAGTCACTCTGCAAGAGATTCCAGTAACCTCCCTTGGAACTCTAACTTCTGCTTATTCAAGATGCATAGCTGGATCTTCAGCGCATGTCATCAGAATAAACGATCCAAAAATACCCTTTGAGTCATGAAGAAAATTCACTATTATCACTCTCACATGTCCCCTGTTGTACATTTTCACACCCTCTTCACACTTGTTAAATTGACACTAAAATACCACTTTTATTCTTACTCAATAGCAATTTTAACCTTTTCAAATTTCTATCTTTGTGCCGTTGAGTACCACGTAATTAACAACTTTTAATTCTTACTTCTAAAGCCAATTCCGAGTACTTATATCAATTATGTCACCCCCTATTACTCAATAACAGACTACTATACATTTTTGGTGAATATCAATGCGACCATACATCCGGTCTCTGAAGAAATGATTTCGTCGATAAAGAAAATTTTCTTCCTTGAACTTGCCTTTTATTTTCTTCATAAACTATCCCTACAATCGACGTAGTCGGTCACACTGATCACAACTTCTCACTGGAAGTCGAGATAAAGTCAGCCAGTCACTAGGTTTAGTCTCCAATAGGGTCAAGAGTGGTATTTCCAAAAAGTCTCACTCAAACTAGGAATAAAAGTCCTTCTAGTACTCAATGTTACCCAATGCTATGAAATTAAATCAGACCTCAGCAGATCAACTCTCGCAAAGTTATATATCTTAAAAAAAGCAGGAATCAGTCCCACAAATGATTGTGATATTAATATTGCACCAAGGTAGACTTAAAACGAGGAAGATTTCAGCGAAATGCTGCATTCAATAATCTCTTCCCCATTATATACTACAATTACAAATCCATAAACATTATCGTACAAATAGCCAATAATAATTACAATTATATCACGGGTGGAATCAGATGTGATGAAATTTCTATTTATTCCTTTACGTTCCTATTGGAAGATAGGGCTTCAAGCTAGAGCTTTGAGGTTTCACTAACAGTGGTTTTACTTTTACGGGGTTGGGGCTACTAGCACCACGCCCAACCTTCCCTCTCTTCCGGTCTTACTATTAGTTTGGCGAGGGTTTGGAGTGCATTGGCCAAGAATCGACGAACCTCGGACCACCTGTGTGGTCGGCAAGGGTTTTACTTTTGAACCGACGACGCCTGAAGAATATGCCATGAAGATACGCTGTCAGGTCTCTTATAGCTGGAGTTATAGAGGTTGATCTGGATAAATTGAATCTTCTGTGCATCTTCTATGTCCACCATGGCCAACTACTATATGGTCTGTAAGGACCATGTATGTAATCATCCCATATCTTCGTGTTATTTTGTCCGTCGAAACACCTTAACTATTTATTTTACCACCTCTCATTCCAATGTTTAAATATAATTTAAGTTTCAGAATTTGAATTTCAGATTTCCCAGACACACAGCTGAATTGTAAGGATTAGATTTGTTTTGACGAGTTAATCACGGATTGATATCAATTAGAGATCCATTGAAAACAAGGGAGTACTGGATAGCTGCTGTTTCATCCTAATGTGAGAATCATCGGCAGTACGCACCCACTAGTTTTCAATGATTCTCTATCTGATACCACACCCTGATTAACCCATCAGAACAGATCTAATCCTTACAAACCAACGACTAAAAATTAATTTAATGCTCGCTAGTGACTTGCTACAAAAGAGAGTTTCTTGGAGTTCTGGTGAGAAGTCGTGATCGGTGAGGTTCATCCAGTCAAGTGTGAGGATGGATTTCTCACCGATGACATGCGTTGGTGGTCGCGCCAAATGACGAATTGGTAGAAATGAGAGTTCATGTGTTGGCCATTGGATCGGGTCCCAGTGGCTGAATGGTATGTGAGCTTGCCTTGTAACCGGAAGGTCTTGGGACCGAACCCCGGCAGTGGGTGCGTGCTGCCAATGATTCTCACATTAGGATGAAACAACTGTCTAGTACTTACTGGTTCTCTAACTCATATCAAACCATGATCATCTTGTCAAAACATGGCTGAATGATTTTATCTCATCTTCCCACTACTGATTGTACACGTCAATTAACCCTGTAGCTGTTTCTCACCTTACTTCAAGTTTAGACAATTTCATTGATATATTTTAACTATATTTAAAGATAAGTCAGCTTGGCTTTCTAATAATTTTCCGATTAGCTTACTGACTGACAGTTTGACTGATTTGTAGGCACAATGATACTTCATATTGGCCAATGAACTCATCATTACTAAGTGTTCAGGGTTAACTCAGCCTTTGACAGAAACATAAGTTTCTCCAAGACTATAGATAATTAAGGAATACCAGAGAAAGTAAGAAGCTGGAGGCATGATTCAAAACGTCATAAACTACGTGACACAAAATCTAATAAGACGTAGATCCACCAAAGAGGAATACCGTTTTCGTAAATCCATTTCAAAGGAATGGAGTTAGTTATTTGGCGTTCTAAAAAGTTAAAGATGTCCCTATCTAAAAGTCACTTGTTAATTTTAAATGGTAACAGAACAAATAAAGTTGCAAATCAGTAAAAAAAAAAGATGGATAAATTATGTAACATTGTTAAGTTCTAAGTTTTGCATACAGGTTCTCACAGCACATCTTCAATTCACTCTGTTCTCCGCAGTTCTCTTCAACTGAGCCCACTCGATCTCCTCGAAAGCCTAACTTGTTGTTCACCAATAAGATTTCACTTGAGTGACTGTATAGCGTGCGATGTCACTTGACGGCTTCTTTGACGTCTGTCGTCGTCATATATTTGTTGAACAATTATGTTTGTGATTAGTGTGTTCTCAGAATTTTTTCTTTAGTGCTGATTCTTTTTGACCAGCAATTTGATCGTTAGCATAGTGTTGTTAGAGAAGGCAGATATTGATGAAAGTCTGCAGTTGTCTATTGGAAATGGCCATTGTGAATTGACAAGTTTCTGAATCATAGAGAAGGGCTGATTGATTTCACGTTTGTTTTGAAAAATCGAATTTCATTCTCTATGCTAAGCGCAGAAAATTTTCAAAGTGATTTCAGATTGATGAAAGTGCATTAAGCCTTTCCGATTCTGGCTGGTTTTGATATCTTCATTGGTGCCAGCCGCTTGTAGTTGAAACGCTGCTTTCTAGATAAGTCAAGGAGGTAACCTCTTTCAAATTTCTCCAATTGGTTGATGCTTATTGTCATTAGTTAGGTGTCTCCACACATCTGTCTTCTCTTTACGTTCATCCGAACTCCTGTCTTCGCAGCAAGCTTGTTCTGTTAACTTATCGATTTTCTTTGCATGGAGGATTTAATCATGAGCTGACATCAGTTAGAGAACCATTGGAAAACCTGGGAGTACTGGACAGCTGTTTCGTCCTAGTTTGGGACTCCTCAGCAGTACGCACCCACCGGGATTCGAACCCAGGATCTTCTGGTTACAAGGCGAGCTCGTAGACCATTGAGCCACTGGGACCCGATCCAATGGTCCTTGAATTCTAACTTCTGCCAGTTCACGACATAGCGCGACCACTTCGCAATGTCTTCGATTTTCACCAGTAAGTCTTCGAATTTATGCAGCATTAGAAACAAATCCTCGGTGAAGTAAAGATCTTCTAGAGTCTTCTTACTGGTCCAATAGATTGCTGTCTTCTCACCACATAATCTAGTCCACCACAATTAAGAATTGTTAAGCAGTCTCATGTAATCTAAAAATCAATAAGTGATGAATATCGCTCAGAAACGATTATCATTTAAACTCCTACCACTTGCGAAACAGCAGTACTAGTCATAGAAGTGAAAACGTTCAGCGCAGTCATTTGTTAAATTGTTCGGCTATTTTATGGGATCTGTATATAGCCAAATTATGTACACTTTATCTTCAATGCACCATTTGCACAGATCTTCGTGTTGTGATATTTCTTGACTTTATATTGTGTGTTTTTGTGTTCCTTTCACGTCTTTCATGTATCTCCACAACGCTGTATCATCTGCCTTCTCTGAAAACAAATTTATCTTCCTGCTGTTTGATGTTTTTATGCCGTTGGACGTCTCTGTGTATACTACTTATAAATCTTACCAGTAGCATGGGCCACTAAATTTCAGCCTAAGTGGTTGAATGGTCAACTAGCTTGGCCTTGTGATCCAAGGCCAAGTCCTGAGTGCATACTGATGAAGAGTTTCAGACTAGGAAGAAACAGGCATGTCCAGTACTCCTCTGAGGATTTGGCTTGTTTCATGCTAGAATACGGTTTGATTTTAGTTAGAGCACCAACGAAAACCTATAGGGGCTACTGGAAAGCTGTTTAGTCCCAGTTTCGGACTCTTCTGATTACAGGTCGAAGCTGCCTAAACTTATAGTGAGAAGTCATGAAGAGTGAAATCCTTTGGGTATGGTGTGAGGACAAATAGTCGCCAGTGACATTCAATAGTATTCGCGATATAAACAAGAATAGGTAGAAGTTGAGAATCATGAGCCATTGGGTCAACCCAGAGTGGTTGAATGATTTATGAGCTTGCCTTGTAACTAAAAGTCTTGAATTTGGACCCAAGTGGGTGCACACTGCTGAATAGCCTTAAAATAGACCGAAACAGTCTTCCAGTATACTCCCTGATTTTCAACGATTCTCTAACGTACATCAATCCGTTATCAGACCTGAATCTGTAAATACAGTTTGGTGAGTGATTTGTACACTTCTCTTGTTTTTAATGTAATTATAAGTACCATGGATTGGTTTATAAACTCTTTATGTTTATTCCTCTTTTTCCCCTATGTGTTCATTCAGTTGAACAGTAGATATGATCCAGATGCTGAACGTCAAGTTATTGGTTGGGTACAACAGCTAACAGGACAAAATATTCCACTAGGACGTGAAAATGTTCAAAGATCACTTAAAAATGGACGTATCCTAGTTGAGTAAGTCAATGTGTGGTTTTTTTTAAATTATTATTTCAAACAGTACTTTTGATGAAATGTGGAATTTTCAGCACATTGTGCAATATTGCACCTAATTTTCTTTTAAAATCACATAGCACAGGACATTTACATTGATAATATTGGTGCACGGTGATTAGCAGTGGAATCTACCAGGATAACGCGCATTTCGCCCTATTTGGAACTAGTTGTCAGCTAGTCGTATTACCTGCATTCCCCAGTCAGTAGTGAATGATGGTGTTGTCACCGAGGCTAGAACCTATAGTTTCACAGTTGCCCACAGTTTCAAACACCAAAGCGTTATCCACCAGACCACCATTTAGGCTATATAAACCACCTCTTGTGCAACGGGTCTTATTAATTATTTAGTTCAATTTAGATTTTCCCGTCAATGGATTGGATCGAAGCACTCGGCCTCGGGTTGACCTGTCGGCTGCTTGTACAGATGCTTTGGCAGTGTCTGGTCCACATGTAACTTGAAGTCGATGTGTGACTAGCGGTGGAATCAAGGATGCACAGGTACATCCAGATGACGAGTCCCAAATAAGCGGAAATGCCTATATTCAAGAGAGGATGGAAAACTGAGTACTAATTACTTGAATGGTACTTTTATTACTATATTTTATTCCCTTAAGTTCCCAGTGAAACATGGTGGGGGGGGCTTTAAGCTAGGGCTTTTGAGTCTCGGTAGCAGTGGTGTTTATTTCTCCGGGTCGGGTGTGCTAGGCTGCCACATGCCCAACCTTCTCTCTTTGCCAGTCTTATTACTAGCTTAGCGAGATAAAGGATTAGGTTGGCCACGAGTTACCTGTGTGGTTGGTGAACATGCTACCGCCGTACCATCGATACAATAAGTGGTTCTATTGTGGATTTACTCCGTGTCTAAAGTACTGTTTACTTTATTTGTTTGGAATGGAACCATTTTCAAAGAAGTCTTATTTGTGCCATAACTGTAAATGAAGATATTTTCATCTTGGCTGGGTACAACAGAATAACTCGTCAAAATGTTTCTAATAGATGTAAAAATGTTCGAAGGACATTTAGGCAGATTTCAGTTTACCATTTACCTCCCAAGTGGAACTTAGTGGGGTAAGAGTTGTAGACAGCAATTTACGTCAATGCTTATATCCCAGATCTTGGTCATGAGAAAAAGATAACAAGAACAAAGACTAACTCAACAACCAATCACAAAAGACTTAGCGTGGGTGGATACGATTAGCAGATATATCAACGGACTGTCTAAGAAACGGCGACAAAGAGATGAGAGAATAACCTTCAGCAGGAAAACAACCAATCAGAAGACGTTGCTCCTGTGCTAACAATAATGAATAATAATGTGCATAAAAATATATAAATGCCTATTGATTTTCTCAATAGACGATCTGTTGTCTGGCCCTTTTCGTCTTTCGTTACAATAGGACTTAAGTGCCACTCACTTCTCAGCTATCAATTTCAATTAACGTCATAATTTCCTACAATCTTTCATTTTGCTCCTCGGATGATCTCCTCATTGCCACCCTCGGATCGAAATTAAACTCGTTACTTCCCATGCGGGTTTCATTCGACAGCCTGGTTTACTTATAACGCCACACAACATTTTTTCAGAGGAGGAGACTGTAAAGTGGCGTAGCTCGCCAAGTCCTTAGGTGTAACCTGAAATGGGAACGATGAATTGGATTTTTGTTCAAGGATAAGATGAGAGATGATAGCCTATGGACAGTCATAGGACTAGGTAAAGACTACTGGCGACGTTCTTTCCAAGCCCTATGTTTCGTTGAGGACCAAAGGGAATAATAATAATAATATAAGAGACACATCAAGTTCTTTTTGAAATACGAATATAAACAAGAGACAACTCGAAGGATATTTCGAATGTCTGGGCTTCAGTTTTTGTTTTAAGGGGAAATTTATATTCATGAACCAAAACTTGGGACTTGGACAGCAAGTCTTCTTTTAATTGAAAGTATCTGTCATCTTTCTAGGTCGAAGTAAAAACTATTTCTATCAGCTATTTCTACATTCTAGTTCATTTCACTATCCTACATATTTATTTCAAATACATACCAATATTTAAAACACTGTCCACTAATTAATTAATTAATTATTTTTCCACCAATCAGAAGTTAAGGCTAATTAATTGTGAAGTTACATTGTTCATTATCTAGTCTAAATATCGTTGTCAGGTATTTTGAAATTGTGTTATGAACTAGTTATTTATTAATATGTACAAATGTATAGTTTTACAGATTTAAAGGTGGTATCTTCTGTTCCCTCCCCCCCCCTACACACACACACTTCGATGATGACTCAAACTTGTTGGAGGTTGAGCTATAAATATTGACCAATCAAGAAACAGTAAGCAAGCGTTGTAAATGATTGGATAAAAATATTGCACGACCTTGGACGATACTAATTGTTCCAAACAAATCGGTAAATGTTCACTTTTCAAGGTTAAGTTTAGCATCAGTTTTTAAGCGGCTTTATTCATGGGGCACAAAGTCAAAGATATGCAGCGAAAAGTAAAAGGTTGGAAGAAGTGAAAGTGAAAGTAGGACTTCATACATACAGGGGACATAGGTGATGAACATACCCAGCAAATAAAGGCGATAATCAACAATCATCCTCATTGGAGGGAATTTGAAGGAGGCCCCTCCCTTATTTTCTCATTTAGGTAACATTGTTTCAACTACAGATGGAGGCATGGATGAGGATGCTAAATCCAGACGAGATCGGATTACTCTGAAATCAGTGATTAAATCTGTCACACTCAGCATTGGGAACTAAGGTCTGATTTTTAATACCAATGGCAAATTCGTGCTTCTGCGTGGTTAAAAGACTTGGCATGTCACTAAAATATTTCAACAGTTGCATTAGCTCCATAATGAAGAACCTATGACCAGAAAGGATAAGCAGTCAACCAACCAACCAACCAACGAGGGAGTTACTGCAGAAGAAAGTGGATATGAGTCGGACACTTGTTGAGGAAACCGTTGGGTAAAATCATGCGCCAGGTCATCGAGTGAAACCCAAATTTTAAATGATGAGTTGAGCTTTGCTTTGAAGATGACATGGAGGAGATCGTGGAAGGAAAAGATGAGGGTGTAAAGATAATCGTGTGGCCGGCTGATGAGGACTTCAGAAAACAGAATGAGACGGAGATGTGCTTCCGAAACAGTACACTCAACTTCAAACCATAGAAATGATTCTTTAGTGCGGATTTCATCACAAGCTTAACCACTGATGACCACAAGCCACTGAACAGGTATTTTGTCCTAGTTTGGAAATCCTCAGCCATACTTATCCACAAATCCATAAGGGATCAAACTCAGGATCGTTAGATTATTAGCCAAAAACTTCGATCATTCAGCCTTGTGTTTGCGAATCCAATGACCCCATGGATTTTAAATCCTGTCAATTCACAATATAGCGCCACTGATAGTCAATTGAGGATATATTATTATGGATTTATTGAAGACTACCGATAGGTCACTAACAGATACGTAACTTGATAATTAGTAGGAAGACTACCCCATATACTGCTGATTAATTGAGGTAAGTGGTTGAATAACACTCATATGAAGCATTAGTGTGTTGCTGGGTAGGTGGAAGTGATCTGAACATCGGAAGACTATTTCGCTCCTTTGAGGCAGAGGTCATCAGTGGTCTACTCGGTTTGACCGATCTCTAAGAGCTGAGTAAATGGAAGACAAGTTGTCGCATTAGACCACATCAGTATGCATATAGCAGTTCTCTCGCTCTTGTGGAACTGAGTGCATTGACCTTCCCTTGTATCCTGTTGTAAAACACGCTCAAGAATACTATCTAGCCTGGCTACCAAAGGAAGAAAGTAACTGTAATTATAAATCCGTAACAGAACATTTGTTGAAAACCAGGATATTTCAGACGGTTTAACTGTCAATTAATAACTTGGTTGACATGGAAATACCTAGCTAGGTAGCTAGTGCTGATTGCAGTGATTTGATCTCAAACCTTAGCTGGTAGTGTACAGAACACAAGTCAGTTGTGAAGAGACATGACATCTGTGCGTCGCATGGCACAGCGGCTAGGACTCTCGCCGATCATGCACATGGTCCGCAGTTCGACCCCCTGCCGACGCAGACCTGATATCTATGGTCGCCTGCAAAATTTGGGCTTCCGATATTACATGCTGAAAATTCTATACTTGTATCAAAAATAGTGTGTGGTTTCAAGCTATAATAAAAAAAATCAATGCATATAGACAATTATGGATATCAGTTTGATTGGGATTATGTCGAAATTTTAAACAGAGGGAAAACCAGATAATAATGTCAGAGAATTCCTAGAAGCCTGTTACCCAAACGAATATGCTATTAACAAACATGTTAATATAGACCAAATTTACCAACTAATAAAAAGTAAATCACCCCATGACAAGAAAGTTAAAACTCCAAATCAATAAAAAATGATTAATACAGATGTCATAAAGATGGTTACCGGGAGCTGCAATTCTATCCCTCATGGAAATTTTTAAATCAGTTCACTTTATGCTAAAAAATTGCGCTGAAATGGAATGTTATTCAGCAGGGAGGGGACGACAAAAGCTCCGTAACTAAACCAACCAACCAACCAGCTGAGAGAACACTATTAACTGCAAATTGTTACATTTTGTTTTGATGATTTATAGGAGCTATCCTCTTCATGGATGGTGATGCTACTAATTTTCTTAAAAGTATTCAAAAAGTAAAAGTAGCAAATGAGAAAGGATTAATTAGAATTTTCAGTCTCTGGAACATGTCAAGAAGCGAACTCATCTTTGCAGCCCAAAGCGATTTTCAGTCATATCATCCACAACCTCCATATTCACTTCTTACAATTCCAAAAGTCATATCTGGGCAGTCTACACCTGCTTACGTAACTAACTCAAACCAACAGTTAAAGACTTTATGGATTAATGTTGTGGTATGACTGTGGTGAGAGCTGTCTGCTAGGTGATATTGATAGACAGCAATTTACGTCAATGTTTGCGCCCCGTATCTTGGTCATGAGAAAAAGATAACAAGAACAAAGACTAACTCAACAACCAATCACAAAAGACTTAGCGTGGGTGAATATGATTAGCAGATATATCAACGGACTGTCTAAGAAACGGCGACAAAGAGATGAGAGAATAACCTTCAGCAGGAAAACAACCAATCAGAAGACGTTGCTCCTGTGCTAACAATAATGAATAATAATGTACATAAAAATATATAAATGCCTATTGATTTTCTCAATAGACGATCTGTTGCCTAGCCCTTGTCTTCTGTCATTACATAGCTACTACATACTCTTTTTCAGCCTAGTCCCGTATCAGAATGCGTAACATATGCCCTAGCTATTTCAGTCGATAGAGCTTTATAACCTGTTAATTTGAGTTGCATTTTTTCAAGTATTGGTTTGCAGCGATTTGATTTGATTGTGTACAAGATTTCATCATGAGCTGACATCGGTTACAGAAACATTGGAAAACTTGCAGTGAGTACTGGGCAGTTGATTCTTCCTAGTTTGGGACTCTTTCGTAGTACGCACCCACCGGAGTTCGAATTCAGGACCTTCTGGTTACAAGACTAGCGAGATCATAGACCATTAGGTCACTGGGGCTCAATCCTAACACTGTGCAACTAACCATAATAATGCTGCACATATTGTATTACGTAACTTGACCGATATTATGTATCGCTTCGTAACATTTCGAGTTGCAAGGTGAAACATTAGCGTGAAGTGGTAATTTTGTGCCACACAGGAGTCTAGAGCTAAGGACTCAATGATTATCCACCTATCCCTCAAACGATTAGTAATATGAGCTACTTTGAATCAATCAAATTCAAAGGATTCAAGAATAACGCCACATTTGTTAGTATCTTATGATTGGTTAATTCATAAATCACGATAGAGGGCGAAATGGATGCTGTCTGTGTTTATTATTTAATTATCCGCCCGAGGTGGAATGCCCGGATCTTTATGATTCGCTAATGCAGTAAATGACCTTGAAGTGTATTGATTTAACTTTTTGTTTAACTAATTTTATTAAAACACCTTGAATATAAAGCACATTTACTTCCAGTTAGTACAGTTTGTATTTTGGTATATTTTCTTTTTGAAATTTTTCAGACTTATTAATGCTGTGTATGAAAGAACACCTAATTTACCGCCAAGAGCACAAACAATTCGAAGACCAGTTAAACCAAATGCTGGAAATGCACCATTTAAACAAGTAAGACATAAATAAATCAGTTTATGAAGTATTTGATGTATTGTAATATGGTAACTAATTATTCACACATAATACAAGATAATAACAATGAACGTTTGACGAATTACTTATAGAATTTCATAGACTTAACTCTAGCGAACACAGGAGTAAGACGAGCTGGTTGTCTTTTATCACCGATGACATTCCTGAGCGTTGTGGTGGATAGGATTATGCGTCAGACTTTGAGGAATGAGGAGACAGGAATACGGTGGACAGATCAATACGAAGATTCTAGAAGATCCGGATTTCGCGTCTGAATGTTTTGTTTTGAATTCCACACAAACTCGAAGACTTACCTACAGGCGAAAACCAGCAAATTGACTGAAGGCGTGGGCAACGAAGACAGGACCCCACGTGAACATACAAAAGATGAAGGTGGTAGAGATAACCTACCAACATAAACAACAGCCAGCTCCAATCACTATCAACGGGAGAGATTTAACAGAGGTTACCTCCTTCATTTATCTGGACAGTCAGAATCGTTTCAACTGCAGGCCGGCGGAACGGATGAAGATGTGACAGCTGATCAGTCAGAATCGGAAAGGCAAGATACACCTTCATCAATCTGACACCAATTTGGAAGTCTTCTGCACTAACTCAGCCAGCATAAATAGCAAGTTTCGGATTCTGTTCAACACAATTGTGAAGTCAGTCGGTCACTGCTTCTATACGAGTCAGAAACTTGATGGGCGTCTCACGCAAAGGATTTCCGACAGCCTACTTCGGAATTCTATCAAAAGCTGCCCTCATCGCTGTCTCCATACTGAAGATCAAATGTTCAGAACGAATTATCAAAGAAGAAACTCTGACCAACAGGCAAGAATCGATCATTCAACAAATATGTGGCGGAATATGGAGATGGACTGACTGGGCATACGTTGAGGAGGTCGTCGAATGACATCTTGCGGAATGCAGGTGAACCTTGGTGGGATTATTCTTGTCGTACCCTGAAGAGTTCTTAACCAGGCCGAAACAGATGTTCAATAGTCTCTGGTTTCCAGTAGTTCTGTCGTTGATATCACCTAGTGGTTTAACATGATATTTGATAGGTATATTAATTGAATCTTCTGTGATAAACAGTCAAGTCAATAATAATAATAATAGTAATAATGACATTATTACAGACGGTATCTTTGATACAGTGTGGAATTTCCGCGTATAGTGCATCTAATATTCTCCGTAAATTACGTAATCAGGGGAAAAATAATCGAAAAACTTTCCTCCACATTTACGGTTATATTTTTGGCAATAATACATAAGTACAAAAAAATTTTATAAATGAATACGAATAATATTAATAACAGAATATTAATATTTAGAAGAATAAAAGGTGCCGATTGTTTACAGTTTTCTTAGTAAGTTGATAATGTCATGCCTTACATTCTTTTTCACTGCATAAAGTGCATACCATATAAGGTGTCTTTGCTATTCTATTTTTAAGCTGTAGAAACCTAGTTGTTATTGAATTCAGCTTAGATTTTTTCTCACCGACTGAATGAAGTGAAACGCTCGGTGTCAGGTTGACATGTCGGCTTCTTGTGCATATGCTTCGACGATGTTTGGTCCATATGTATCTCGAAATCAACTGGCAGATGGTGACTAGCAGTGGAACCCGGCCAGGATGCACATTTCATCCTATTTGGGATTCGTCAGCCAGTGGGTGTACCTGCGTCTGCACAAGGCACTGACATGTCAACCTGAAGTCGAGTACTTAGGTCCAATCAATCGACTGAGAAATCTAAATTGAATTAAATAATTAATAAGGCCAGTTGCACAAGAGGTGGCTCTCGTCGCCCGATTGGTGGTCTAGTGGATGACGCTTCGGTATTTGAAACTATGGGTTCAACCCTCGGTGGGGACACCATCACTGACTCACTGAGGAATGCAAGCAAATGCAGATGACGAATGCCATATAGGAAAAAATGCGCATCGTGGCTGGATTTCATTGCCAGTCACCATCCTCAAACTGACTTCATAGTTACTATTATTTCCTTAAGTTAACAGTGGAAATTAGAATTTCAACGACATATCTCCACCTTCTCTGCAGTCCTCTTTAGCAGACTCCATGATTGGTCATAAGCTTTTCTCCACCTTTCAGACGATCTTCTCCGTGTCATTTTCGGCAAGAGCCATCTCACATAAAGTCATTTACACGGTTGCCTTTAATCCCATCACAGAAAATTCAAGGGTAGATCTGTGAATAAAGAGCCTTCTGAGAATCTGACAAGACCAATTTCTTGCATGAGTTCAATAGACTGTTAATAACGATATCAACCAGTTGGTTGAGTGACACATTATTCATCCTGCCGACAGACTTAAGTGTCCTTCACAATGTAACAAAATCTTTCCTGAATAACAAAGAGTAAACTAACTGCAGAAGTAGAGTCTAAGTGATACCAGACTGCCATAAGTTTCTAGTGTAGAAGGTAAGACGAAATATTTTTTCTAGAAATCAAGAGTATTTGGAACAACTAAAAAAAGGTCAGAAGAATGACATGGTCCAGCGAAATAGAAACCAAGTCGGAAATTAAATATCTAGGCGTCATTCTATCTGCTGGTCTCTCCTGGTCGTCTCATATCTTGATGATTTTTAGGAAAATATTCCGCCTTACCTTCTACATCAAGAAGTTAAGACATTCTGGAATAACCCAACCCTTACTCCTACAATTCGTTAACTCTCGCATCCTGTCTATTATTCTCTATTGTTCCCCTTAGTTTTTCCAGGGCTACTGAAGAAAGACTATGCCTCATTACGCAGGATGTTAAAGGTTGTCAGCAGGGTAAGCAACGGGCAACTTAACCAGCTTGTTAATGTTCTGGTTGACAGGGAGTTGGACTCATGTGAAAAATGGGCTAAATCCATTCTATCCATCTAACTCACACCACCACCCTCTTCATTCACAACTCTCCCCTTGCATCTATCTCATCAGCCAGGACCAGAAGCCTATATAGAAAACTAAATGCTCGCACTAGCAAGTACAAAAACTCAACCATACCCTACATAGCTCGTGTTCTGTACGATGAAGAAAGCATTAGGCGTGATACCTATAACTTATTAAATAGTCAGTAGAACAACTGGATCTCGTCTTTCCAACTCATATCATATATAGGTACAACGTTTTCTTTCTTTCTTTTCCTTTTCTCACTTTTTCTGTGTTATGTGCTGCATTGTTTCTTTCTTCTGCTTACTCCAGTAAATATTCTACCATCTACTTTTCTAACACCTTTCAAACAATCTGTTCAATTTCGGCTTTGCTACCGACATGCCAGTAATCTTGTTGTCATAATGAACTGAGATTACCCATAATCTATGTAGAATTTTATTTATTGATAATGTACTAACTGGTGGATGCAATACTGCAGTAAAATGCTGAGAATTCCATTCTGTATCACAAGTACTGTTTTGGAATAAAGCAAATTATTATTATTATATCATTCTAAATCTGTAAAGTCACATATATGTATAGTAAATTTTCTCAGCAACAAAACAAATGATGGAATTCAGCAGAACTCAGCGGAAATTGAAAGATACTCAGGTTGTGATCAGTGTCACAAGGATCCGAAATCTTATAATGTTGCGGCAGGGGGGAGGAAGAATAATGTAATAAAAAAAAACACTTAAATTATCAGAATTAACAAAAATTACATGTCCAGTGTTAAGACAGGTCCATTGCAGGTTCAGCGACTGAAGAAACTTCTTCTGCACGCAGAATCCTGGATTCAACATGCGGATAGCCATCGCTTCTGCGTTTTGAAGAAGTTTGATACATACCCTTTTGGGAAGATCTCCACATACACTGTAGATGGCTCTGAAGTTGGCTTGCAGGTTCTCTCGGTGTTCCTAAATAGAACTGAGGGGGATCTTTATTCTCTGTTTGCAAAACCCTAAGGAATAGTGTTCTATGATATATGTGGAGTGCAAACGCTGAATACGTCCACATATCTAGCCCTCCCACGCCCAAAGAGCAGGTAACTTGATAAATACAGACTGATGAATCCAGCAGTGGTCCCATTCCCTTCACGTTCATACGAATGATTGGTTTTGCAGAGAAATAGTGTCCAACTTCACCTCTGAAGAAGTTTTTCTTCAGTGAACGGAATCGATGAGTCTTCATTAAATTCTAGATTTAGATAGAGAATTTTTTCGGAGACAGAAAGTATATGCAGTTTTAGTGGTGTAAGCATCATGGATTTTGTGGAGAATCATTCGCAGTTAGCATTTCCACTGAGAATCCCTTTTAGAAGGATGTTCAGCTTCTCTCCTATGCTATTAGGGTGGCAAATGTTGCGGACTTTGTGTCTTAATGACAGGATCAAGTTTCACTTCACAAATAAAGACACCCAATTGTAGAAGTTCAAAGAGTTTTCCATTACATGCTGACATTTCTATGGATGGATCTTTTCAGTGTTCCTTCTTCTTTTATATCTTTGACCGAGAATTGTTTAGACTCTAGGCCATCGGAGATCTGACGATATGTCCCAATTTAGGATGAAAGGGGAATTTCATGCATTCACACAAAAATCCCTACAAAAACTAATAATTGAAAATTAATCTAATGCTCACTAGCGAATGACCCTATTCAGGCAGTTAACCTGGGGTTCTAGTGGAAAGCCATGAGCAGTAGGGTACAGCAAGTTGAAGATGAGACAGTAACTCATTGAAGATGACATTGCGAAATTGTCGCGCTATGTTATGGATTGGCAGAAGCTAGAATTCAAGGAACATTGGATCGCGTCCCAGTGGCTCAATGGTCTACGAGCTCGCTAGCCTTGGAACCAGAAAGTCCTGGGTTCCAGCCCAGTGGTGTGGGTACGTACTGCCGAAGAGTCCCAAACTAGTATGACGAAACAGCCATCCAGTACTTTCGGGTTTTCCAGTGGTTCTCTAACTGATGTCGGCTCATGATGAAATCCTCTATCTAATCAAACAAAAATCCCTGAGAAAACCAATACTTGAAAAC